CTTGCTATTTCTATATTATATCACTAATCTGTGTTTAATTTCAAATGATGAACGGTCATGTCCGATTTTATATATATATATATATATATATATATATATATATATATATTTGTGTGTGTAGGGTTGGGTTCACGTGAGACATAAAGTTTTTCGTTAGATCCATAAAATCAATTTATGTTCATTGATCAACTTTATAAATTAATGATCTAATGGTCTAAAATTGTATAGTGACAATTTTGTGATTATTGAGAAGTCTCGTACCATTTATGAATGTTTATATTGTCATATTGTAGATTTAATCCAAAAGTTGAGAATTGTAGATGTATGTGTGTATGTATGTGCATATATATAGATATATATTCACACACACTTTTAGAATGATAAGAATGTGGGTCATGTTACACGAAATAAATATAGGGGGAGTAAATATGGTTTGTTGTGATTAAAAAACCATGGGGAAAGCGCTGCTTTTTGAATTTATTACTTCTAAAAGCACAAAATACATTAAATTGTTATGACTTCTTTTTATTAATAATTGATTAGCAGAACATTTGTGAATCACATGTTTATACGCTGCAATTGCATTATTATTACTTTTGTTTTCATCAACTTAACTTCACCAATGATGAACCTGAAACAAATAGGAGAGAAATTGTAAACGAATTGAACGTTCAACGAATCTTTTGTTAACTGTTCATTGGAAAGTTCGTTAATTTAATAAAGACAAAAATCCAAAAAGATCCAACCAACTTTCTCGTTTTGAACGGTTTAGCCTCCAAGTTCTTTTTTGTTAAATGAAAAACTATTAGACTTTTTCATTTTTAACGATTAAGTTCTTCAACTATATTTTTGAATAAAAAAACCATTAAACTTTCTCATTTTAAATGATTAAGACCATGAATTCTTTTTTAAATAAATAAACTTAAATCGATTTTACTGTTCCCAACCTTACATTATTCAAGTCTCTGCCATCGATCTTATTCTTTTGATATGTCTATGTATGCTCTATTAAATTGTTGTAAAAGAAAAGAATTGAAAGAAACGAATCAAATCAAAAAGAGGGCGATCACAATTGCAGGGGCCAATAGCGGCAATGAACGGTAGAGAGAGAGAGAGAGAGAGAGAGCACATAATGATGAGGCGACAAAAACCATAAAATTGATTTTTTTTTTTTAACTTTAAAACGATGCTAGACGGTTAGATATAACTATTTTTGTATTAAAAAATTTAGGTAACTAATTTTTAAAACTTTGATAGTTTATTTAATCAAAAAAAGGTTAAGAGACTTGATCATTATAAAAGAGAGAGTTTAATGAGTTTTTCATTTAAAAAATAGTACAAAAACTTGATCATTCAAAAGAGAAAGTTTAATGTTTTTTGATTCAAAAAAAAAGTTTAGGCATTAAACATTCAAAATGGGAAAGTTGCTTAAGTTTTTTTTTTTTTTTTTTTTGAGCTTTTCCCTTTAATAAACGTACAAACACGAATTGTTTAGTTAAACGAGTGAAAAGAGAATGAACAATGATATTGTTCGTTCATTTACGTTCGTGAACATTCTTATATTTATTTTTATTAATGTTCGTTCATTTATATTTTTTTACATTTGTTTATATATATATATATATATATATATTATGACAATGATATGTAAAATCATTAATTAAACTAAATTTTAGAATTTTTTTTATTATTCCTCTAAATTTAATCCTGTTTTTCATTTTGTTATGTTACTTTTGAGGAACGAATTAATAAGTAATGGTAGTTGTTGTTCGTTCATTTACGTTTGTTTAACATCTTAATAACGGACATAAATGAATACGAACAAGCACAATCTCTTAACAAACGAACATGAATATAAAAAATTTCGTTCGGTTATCCTTCGTGTTAGTTCACTTAAGTTAAACAAACAAATACAAACAACCCTCTATATGTGTTCATTTCGTTCTGTTTGTTTATAATCCTAAAAGTTACTATAAGATATATCGAGGAGAAATGATCCAATCTCTTTACAATGTAGGCTAGACGGGCAAAGATTGTCCCAGAGAAAATATATGGAACCCAATTAAATTAGTGTTAAAATAAGCCCAATCATATGAAATATGTGGAACCCGTTTCTAAAAAAAACCACAGTTTTTCACAAGAAAAATTAAAAGGTGAACCACAAGGGTGGTGCCTAATTGGTTTGAGCTTGACTCCAAAGATTAAAAGTGCCAGAAGGTCCCAGGTTCAAATCCAAAGAGGAACAAAAATCCTCTTGTGGCCACGGAGGTTTAAATGCGGTGACTCCGGGCTACCTGCAAAGCAGGTGGTTGCCCTGGGATTAATCGGCTCGCAAAGCAGGTTGGATATCCAGGTTAATAAAAAAAAAAATTAAAAGGTGGATTATACTTTTATTTAAGAATGTATTTTTAAAAGCACATTTTCAAAAATATATCTTAAAAAAATCCTTAACATTAGGCATTAAAATAAATACTTTATTTAAACTATAGACCTTTCATAGAGATAACTAAAACGAGTTTTGGACTGTATCCAAATCAGTCCTGATTCTTGATTTACTTTCATAATAGGTCTTAGTTTTGGCATAAATGATACTGGCCTTGGCCCTGGTCTTGACCAAAAACCTAAGTCCCGGTCTCCTTTAATCACAACCAGTCCTAGACCGGGTCAGGCCCCAATTGGTCCAAATATTTTTTTTTTCAAATGAGAATTTTGAACATATAAAAAATCTAAATTTGATGAATTTTTTTAACAATATATTATTGAAATACATTTTAAATTCTCTAACTGTCTCATTGAAATAAACCTTAAATATATTATTACAAAAAAATATTGTACATGTTTTTATAATTATGATTTCTGAAATTTAGTTAGAGACAAAAACTCGACCAACTTAGCGAACCCAACCCAACACAAAATAATTTAATCCTAAGCAAACCGATGTCTATTCAAGTTATAAAATCTTCAAACCATAAGTATTGGATTTGAATCGGGTTATAGTAATTTGAATCCAATCCAATTCAATGAACCTGATATCATTTTATTTCTTAGAATTAATATGATTAAAATGTACATTAGATAATTACACTATCACGTACCCTTTTCATATACATATATTTGCAATCCCTTCTCCATCTCTATATAGCTCTTTCGTATATTTGTTCACTAAACATGAACATATATATGCAAATTGAGAAAAATAGTTGAATGTAATATACTTAATATTTAATGAGTATGAATAAATAGTATCAAATGATTAATGATGAAAAATGAATTATGAGTAAATAAAACGACATGTTCAAGGTTTGAAGAATATTTTGATGTACCAAACCCGACTAACCCATACGGTTTGGTTAGGTGTACTTTATTTTTAGTTGGGTTGAATTAAGATTTTTTTTAACCGCAAACATTGCATTGAATAGTTGAAATGCCTTCAATCCCATCAACCCAAACGATGAGCATCCTAATTGAAACACTTAAAAAACTTGAAACAAATTTGAAGTTTTTTGGAAAAAATTATAATTTTTTTTAGATCAGGTGTCTATATATGGTTGGGCCAGGCCCACCCTTGAATTTTCATAAGTAAAATAACCAGTTGTGGACATCAGTCCTAGTCCTAGTCCTAGTCCCTAGCAGCCCAAATTGATCCTGGTTCCAATATAAGCATCTCTGCTTTTGATTTTGACTAGAAAATTAAAAGAATATTTGTTATAATATAGCTTCTTGAACACCATTAATTTGGCTTAGCTGGATGGTTTTACCAATCACCATCCATACCAATCTTTTCCCACTAAGATGCTTATTCCAAATCTATGGGACCCATTCCAAATCCCTCGTCTTTCTTTTAATAGTATTAGGAAGACTCAGCTGGAGTACAAACAACAACTACAAGCATATCAATATATATATATATATATATATATATATATCTTGCTTACTTTCGTTAATTCAGAACAAAAGCAAAGGAATCATGGATTAATTAAAAGCTACAACCCTCTTAAATTAATAGCATATAAATTCAACCTAAGTAATTAATATCACCTAGAATATGATCAACTACACCTTAATAATATATAAATACGAAATCGACCCTTCACCAAAACCATGATTTAACAACAATACATGATTGAATCAAAATGAACTGTCAACTCTTTCATTCAATCATACGAAATCAGTTTTCAATTCTATGGCTCTCGACAACTGCAATTCAATAAAAAAACAATTTGGCAACAACGGGATTTAATTTGTACACCTTTTCTTGTTTTCAAACTTACAAATATATTTTATGATTGGAAGTCATGTCATTCACCTGAGAATATAAGTCATAAGATGTGACCAATTAATATATATATATATATATATATATAGAGAGAGAGAGAGAGAGGGATGTTATTCTACACCTTTGCCATTCCTACACCCTATACAACCCTCATCTCAACKATTCAATTTTTAATCAATTAATTGTTTCATAATATAAATTATTAATCATAATTAATAAACTCTATTCATATTCCATAAATATTCAAATCATAATAAATGAACTCAAATCATTTCTATAAATATCTCAATTAATTGGGTTGCAAAGGTTGTACAAATGCAAAGGTTGTAAAAAAAATATACCCTCTCTCTCTCTCTCTCTCTCTATATATATATATATAATTGATTGTCTTGAATATATTAATCATTTCATCAACTATTTTTCTTGAGATCGTTGGAGAAAAGAAATGTCTATATATTATTATGGTTCTTGAAAACCTATAATTACTTATAATTGATACAATTTATAATTAGGATACACATATTTCTCAAGCTTGTTTTTATTAATTAAGAATATTTTGATTATTTAGTAATTATTTGTTTTTATGCGATACATACGTGGAACACATGGAACCACACACTTCTGCCCCCCCTCATCTCTCACAGATACTCACATATAGATATAGATATAGATATAGATATAGATATAAATATAGATATATACCCACACCCTGCTTTTCACAAACACCAACAACAAACACACAGAAAGAGGAATATGGAGACGATTCAACACAAGATGGTAGCTGTGAATGGCATAAACATGCACGTAGCAGAGCTTGGCAAAGGCCCAATGATCCTCTTCCTGCATGGCTTCCCTGAGATCTGGTACACATGGCGCCACCAGATTCTCTACCTTGCTTCTCAAGGCTACCGTGCTGTAGCCCCTGACCTCCGTGGTTATGGTGACACCACCGGTGCTCCAACAGATGACCCCACCAAGTTCACCACCCTTCATGTGGTCGGAGATTTGGTGGCGCTCATTGACACAGTGGCGGCCCCAGGCGAGGACAAGGTGTTTGTGGTGGGACATGACTGGGGTGCAATTCAAGCTTGGGCTTTGTGCCTTTATCGGCCTGATAAAGTAAGGGCTTTGGTGAATATGAGTGTTCCTTTCAGTCCAAGAAATCCTGTAATCAAACCTATCGATGCACTGCGTGCTCTCTATGGAAACGATTACTACATCGTCAGATTTCAGGTTCTACGTCTCTCTTTAATTCTTTCATCAGCAATATATAGTGCAACACCGTCACATGCCACCACCTTAACTACCACTCATTAGGGGTGAACGCGGGTTGGGTTGGGCGGTTTACAACAATTTTACAACCCAACCCAATTATGGCGGTTTGGAAAATCTCAACCCAACCCAACCCATTCAAAAGTATAACCCAACCCAACCCAACCCTTGCGGGTTGAGGCGGGTTGGGTTGGGTTGGCGGGTTAGTAGTTACATAATTTGAAGAATGAAATAATTCATAAATCTTAAGTTTATAGACCATACTATAAAGCGTCCTACTAAAAATGTTGCAATAGGTTTATAAGACGTTTTTTGACGTTTCAACTAGTGTTTTAGAATGATCTTTAAATAAAATGTCGTATTAGTTATTTTATAGAAACATTTTGAGAAGTGTCCCGTAAACTCATCTATTTATAGGACACCTATGCTCATATGACATTTTTTCAAGTCGTGTTGTATAATATAACTAATACGACACTTTATTTTGAAAACATCATAGAATTTGTTAAGACGTCCAAAACAATCCTATAAACATGTTGGAACTCTTTTAGATAAGACATTTTTCTAAAGTAACTCTTTAAAAGCGTCATAGATTGATGGATTCGTCCATCAAATATCTATCAATATCATTCATATTTTCCAACGTATCAAATTGTTGTTGCTGCAAAAAAAATCAATAATTTTCCTTATTAATTAGATTATTTGTCATCATTTTTTGATCGTGAATCTCTTTTGGTAACCTATACGTTTAGTTAAAATGAAACAAAATATAATATCAATAAAAATTATATAAAATTTATACATTATTAATATATATATATATATATATATAATAAACATATATATATATATGTATATATAATTTTATAAAAATTATATATTAACGGCGGGTTGACGGGTTGGCGGGTTGAGCTAGGCTCAACCCAATTTCAACCCTCCTAATTAGCGGGTTAGCGGTTTGGCGGGTAAGCGGTTTGGCGGGTAGACGGGTTGGGTTTAATTGGGTTGTTAGCGGGTTGGGTTGGGCGGGTTTCGCGGGTTGACGGTTTTTTGTTCACCCCTACCACTCATCACCACTGTACAGGCCCATTCCTGACATTTTATGGGTCCTGGACGAACATAAAAACAGGGCCCACCGCATTTGAACCTCCGTGATCACAAGGGGATTTTTGTTCCTTCTTGGATTTGAACATGGGACCTCCAGACACTTTTGACCTTTGGAGCTAAAATCAAACCAATCACGCACCACCCTTGTGGTTACTTAAATTTACGTATTTTTTATTAGATAATTTGAAACCAAGAGTATAAAATCTATGGTTGATAAATTTTTATAAAAAAGTAATGATTTTTTTAGTTTATAACAAGAAATATTTGTTATTTTGATAATAAAAAAAAAGGAGAATTCGTGTGAATGAAGTAATCGTGAGGGTCAATGAGAGATCAATAATAAAAAAGATTATCAATGTTTTCTAGACAAGTAGACAAATAAGGATTAATAAGAATATGAAAGAAAAAATGATTCATTGAGATCTAATAAAAATAAATAATGAATTAAACATATAATATACAAGCTCAACAAATGATTGTTTGAGTACTTAAATAGAATCTTGTAGTGCGGTYGAATCCCAATGAAAGATATATAAGTCAAACAATTGATGAAAATATTTAAATTTTATTCTCCTTCTTTTTTTGCTCAACTAAAATAAGATGTTAAGATTGAAATTTTTTTGAACATGACATATATAAGAGACATTACTAAATATATCTAGTAGAAAAAATTATTGATTAATCACAAACCTATGAAACACGTCATAAATTATAATAACAATAGATTGATTGTCAAACAATAGTAAAATATTTTGTGTAGAAACAAAAATAGATAACAATACTCAACAAAAACAATTAGAACAACATAACCAAATAGCAATAGTCAATAGAAGCAGAAATTGATAAAAATATCCAACAAAAAATATATAGCAATAACAAGCACATGATCTTACTGTTGAATTGTTGAAACATGAAAACAACCAAACATATAGAGATAACAATAACCAATACCATTGTACCTTGTTGAAGATAAAGAAATTAATTTTTTTATCTTCTACTTCAATATAATTAGTTGAAATATTTTTGGGCCCTTATTATGTACTAATATTTTTTTGCTTCTTATTATATGTTACAATTTTGTGGGTTTCTTTAATTCATTAAATTAAGGGAAAAATTTGGGCCGCTAATATTTTTGGGCCCTGGGCGTGCGCCCGTGCCGCCCTCCCCCAGGGACGGCCCTGCCACTGTAGATGAACAACCCATTTGTTGAACGAAAGATGAGGAAGAGTTCTATGTTTGCGAATTGATTTCTTGTATTTGCATGTCATCGATTCAATGGGTTACTTAATTTTATAAATCAGGAACGTGGAGAAATCGAAGGTGAATTTGCCGTTTGGGGTACAGAAAGAGTTCTAACTGGCTTCTTCAATTACCGCAAACCTGCACCACTTTTTTTACCCAAGGGCATAGGGTTTGGAAATTCGCCTGATGCTCCTATAAGCTTGCCTTCATGGCTGTCCGAAGAAGATCTTGCTTACTACACCAGCAAATTCGACAAAACTGGCTTCACTGGAGGTTTAAACTACTATAGAGCCTTGAACCTGTATGTTGGATTCAAACTAGCTAGCTAGTTATTTAATTAATGGATGATTAATAACAATAATTAATCATATATGTGTTTTTTCGATTAATCTGCAGAAATTGGGAAGTAACTGGCCCATGGAGCAAAGCTCAAGTGAAAGTACCAGTTAAATTCATTGTGGGTGACCTTGACCTGACCTACAACTCGTTGGGTGCCAAAGAGTATATAGAGAAAGGTGGGTTCAAGAAAGATGTGCCACTTCTGGAAGATGTAATCATACTGCAAAGTGTTGGCCATTTCCTCCAAGAAGAAAAACCTGATGAAATCAACAAACATATCCATCAATTCTTTAAGCATTTTGGTACTAAAGAACCATGATGATTCAGATTTCTCAGTTTATGTTCAACGTCTGCTGTCAATATTGGTATTCGCTTTATCCATGTGCAACTTGATGTAAAAAAAGTCTACAGACTATGTCCATTTTCAATTTTTCAGTTGTTGCCATATGACCTACGTCTTTCTGATTAATACTTACACCGAAAATTAAATGGCAAATGCAAGATTATAACTTTCCTTTTACCATATTGAATTTTCGTCCCCTTTCTTGTATCGTATTTATGATATCTATTAATATGATTAACACAAAAAAAAGTATTCAATATTAACCTAATTTTGAATGTATTGACGAGACTATCATAATGGTCTAATTTGTAAATAAACATATTTTTTATGCATTTGAGTTAATATAAAATTACGTATGTTAATATAATAAATGTATAAAATAAAAATTAAAAAAGTAAATGATATAAATAACTAATTATAATAAATGTCCAAAAACAATCATTATGCAAAGAAAAAAAACATTATACATAAACTTTGCCTGAAGTTGGATAGTTAAAAAATGAATTTGGTTTTGTGATCTTGTGATTTTGGTAGATTTCCCTAATTTCCGGATATGAATTGAAACATTTAAAAGTTTGAAATTTGTCATACCAATAATTTTTACTTAGTTCATGCTCACTTGCGGTTAATTTTAAAACACATCACTATATGTGAGTTTCGTATACGTACCTTGATTTGCATTCGAACATTAATATAAATTTAGATGATAAATACGATTTGTTCCGTAAGAACATTGTACCAATTATAAGATTTTTCTATCTTTTTTAGCAAATGCCTATTTTTAGATTAAGGGTCAAAAAATAGAAATACCATTAAGAACGTCTCTTTTTATAAACATCCTAAAAGGCTATTCTAAAACGACGTTACACCAAATATGAGTAATGTAGATAAAAATCACATATTTCAAAATCATACGTTTTATTCATGTTTTATCAATTAAATTAAAATACATAATATTTTTGTTTGTTTAATTTATGTTTACTTTCTCTCTTTGATCATATTTGTTTATATAATTAATAAACATGAATGAGACATATAAATCTAGGACATGTGATTAAGAACATTTTAGCTATTTAATTATTATATGATTAAAATATTTAGCAATAATACAAATTAAATCAAAAGTTTTTTCTTTTGGAACATAAATAAATCCAAAATAAAGTTGTTGCTAGCTTTAACTTTACGAAGCATCCGTCTTGGATCCTATATATTATTTTTTATATTAATTAAACTATTAATTAATTTTTTATATTACTTTTTGAAAACAGTTAAAATAATTAATTAGCATTTTTAAATAATAAATACAAAAGTAATAAGTTAGTATCGATTCGAGCTAAACTTTAAAAGGGTTACGTGTGAAACACATCTACATGGAGTTCACACGTACTACGTATTACTATATGTTCACACAACTTAACAAACTCACAACACATAAAGTAAACACTAATTAAGAAGACAAAAATGGAGAAGATAGAACACAAGATGGTAGCAGTGAATGGCATAAACATACATGTAGCAGAGCTTGGCAAAGGCCCTATGATCCTCTTCATCCATGGCTTCCCTGAGCTCTGGTACACCTGGCGCCACCAAATTCTCTACCTTGCTTCTCAAGGCTACCGTGCAGTGGCTCCTGACCTCCGTGGCTATGGCGACACCACCGGTGCTCCAACAGACGACCCCACCAAGTTCACCACCCTTCATGTGGTCGGAGATCTGGTGGCGCTCATTAACACCTTGGTGGCCCCAGGTGAGGACAAGGTGTTTGTGGTGGGACATGACTGGGGTGCATATATTGCTTGGGATTTATGCCTTTATCGGCCGGATAAAGTAAGGGCCTTGGTGAATATGAGCGTTCCTTTCAATCCAAGAAATCCTGAGATCAAGCCTGTTGATAGACTGCGTGCTGCCTATGGAGACGATTACTACATCGTCAGATTTCAGGTTGTTTCTCTTTACATCTGTCATCAGCAACACCATCACACGCCACCACTCACAAACACCTGCGCCACCGCCCACCTTAACTAACACTCACCACAAAAGATAAACAAAGATCTAAAACTTAAATGAAATCCTTTTTGTGGTTAAGGCATGGTCTCATATACTCCAAGTCAAAGCGTATGAATTTGAGTGTTCTTAATTTTGTTTCTACAGTTGTACTGTTGCATGTTCGCTTGATATATATTGCATGTCAAGATCGAACTTAATTGGTAATTTACATTCTATTTTATATTCATGGAACTGAAACGTCGGATTAAATTCTTGATAATATATGTGTTTCAGGAAGTTGGAGAAATTGAAGGTGAATTTGCCGTTTGGGGTACAGAAAGAGTTCTAAATGATTCTTTCACTTATCACAAACCTGACCCACTTTTACTACCAAAGGGTATAGGGTTTGGAAACTCACTAGATGCTCCTATAAGCTTGCCTTCATGGCTGTCCAAAGAGGATCTTGCTTACTATACCAGCAAATACGAGAAAACTGGCTTCACCGGAGCTCTAAACTACTATCGAGCCTTGAACACGTACGTTCGCTTCTATTTACTAGCATGCTAATTAAAACTTCAGTTGATGTAGTAAAGTGGATGATTAAAGTTAAACAATATTTTCAATCTGTAGAAACTGGGAATTAACTGTCCCATGGAGCAAAGCTCAAGTGAAAGTACCAGTTAAGTTCATTGTGGGTGACCTTGATCAGACCTACCATACGATGGGTGTCAAAGAGTATATAGAGAAAGGTGGGTTCAAGAAAGATGTGCCACTTCTGGAAGATGTAATCATACTGCAAGGTGTTGGCCATTTTCTCCAAGAAGAAAAACCTGATGAAATCAACAAACACATCCATCAATTCTTTAAGCACTTGCGTACTACAGAAGCATGCATGATGATTTAGTTTCATCAGTTTATGTGCAACTTCTGCTGTCAATATGCTATTTGCTTAATCTACAACTTAATGCAAGTCATCTGGGATCTAGAATCTATATATTCTTTGTTTTTGAAATATGATATAATCATAAGTTTTATTAAAACAAAATACAAGTAAAGATTGGTCAATGCAAGTGTATAGGACCTAGAATTTTTTTCTTTACATCATTATTTTCTTAACACTTTAACCCGCCTACACTAGATGGTACATTTATTATACTATCACTATCACTCGCCTTCCATAACATTTTAATCTATAAATTAATACACACACACATATATATATATATATATATATATATAGTATCATTTACATATTATCACACCCTACTTCATTTCCAACACACAAATGCATCAAAAACATGGATTCATGAACCAATTGTTAACAAGACTACTTGTAAACGTCTCTCGTTAAATGATAAACTTTTCAAAAAACCTCATTTTCACTTATTTTAGAATAAGTGAAAATGTAATATAAATTATCTTACGTCTTATTTATACATCAGTATTTATTTGTCTTATGTTTTATTTTTTATAATCATATAATTATTTAAAAAATAATAGTAATATTTATATTAATAAATATTTATTTATCT